ACAATCCAGCATGCCTTGTTTCCGACAAGCTTAGCCGTAGAACCAGTGCCAGGCTAGAGAAAAGCACAGTTTGGCCATCTCGTTCAATAGCTCAGTATGGAAGAAGCACGGATCACCGGCGCAACGTGCAGGCGGGAGGGCACATGCAAAATTTCTGACGTAGTATAGGCACATGATCCCAGCTGAGATGGGAGACTACTGTCTTCAACCCAGTGGAACGGCCAGTCATTATAGCTGTATTGGGGGCAATTTTCAGTCTAGATACCAGGTGCTCTATTCTCGTGAAGACAAGAGTGATGTGCGATCTCGATGGCAGCCATATACGAGAGGTGCCCCCCAGCTGGGATCACGCGTCTACCCAACCAACTGGCGTGCTGCAAGAGCCTGAATACCCACACATGGGAATGTCTAATTTTGCCTCTAACGAATATTCAGGCCCACCTTCACTTAGGGCGGGCACTTGGCTTGCTGGGGGCCTAAGCCCAGATCATGTGATGTCTGATAGGGCCCCTTGAGGGCTCGTTCCTCACATTCCATCCCCCTTAGCTTTGAAAGTACGCTGAGATGCTTCATGCTGGTGCCTTCCCCTTTAGCTTCTTCTCATAATGTGCCACGATCTGAGGAGCTGTCTTGATAAGTTCCTCTCTTGAAATCCATCGATCTTCCTTCGGATCAGTATGATGCCTGAAATGTACTCTGTACTCCCTTGCAGGTTTAGGAGGTATTCCCCAGCCAGGTGGCTTGGGAACTGGCGTGTCTATGTGATCCAGAATGTCGCCGACGTCCACGTGGCCATCGATGGTTGGGGGCAGCATAGATCTCCGTGATGGGAACTGTGCTGTCTCAGCGAAAGGTGCAACCTTGGAGGCGTGAAAAACAGGGTAAGTGCGTAGTTGACCAGGGATATGAATGACGTACGAGGGACCATCCAAATCATTCCCCACAATGTCTAAGACTTCCCAGGGACCGAAATACTGAGGCATTAGCTTCCTAGAGATGCCAAACTCCTGTCCCAACTCACTAGCCTTGACCCAGACACGTTCCCCTACCTGAAATGTGGATTGTCAGCGACGCTTGTTCTCAGAAGCAATCATGGCTTGCTGAGATTTCTTGATGTGTTCAACAGCCTGCTGCAACAATTTCTCATACTGGACACCAATTCAATGGTTCCAGGACTTACAACAGTTCGGTTTTTAGGCAGGAGGAAGTCTTGAGCAGATATAGGCTTTCATCCCAGATGCAGCTGATTCGGACTGACGCCGGTGGTGTTATGTACAACATTGTTGTACAGACTGGCGATGAGAGGTAATTTTTCATCCCAATCATCCTGGCTGGGCTTGATGTAATGCCTCAGCAGATGCTGCACCACTCGGTTCATCTGTTCAGCCTGGCCATTGGCTTCGGGATGATTCCCGAAAGTCATCTGCAGCTGGCTGTGCATCTGTTCAGCGGCCTTCTTCCACATCTCACTGGTAATCTCTATCACTAACAATGGTCCTTGGCAGTCCAAGTCCCGCACCCTGTTGTCCATTAACAACTTGATGACGTGCTTAGTCTTGGCAGTCTCTGGCATGGCAATTAGTCTAGCATATTTAGTAAACCTATCCACTATGACGAAGATGTGCCTCTTGCCATTCTTGCTGGTCACGAGAGTATCCATGAAGTCCATGGAGATTCTCTGTCCTGGGCCAGCAGGAATAGGTAGAGGCTTGAGTAACCCAAGCGGAGCTTGAGTTCGCGACTTATCCCACTGACTGACCTGACAGGTCTGTACGTACTTCTTTGCATCGTCTAGCATGTTAGGCCACCAAAACCGTTGTACTAAGTTAGCACTAGTCTTCCGTTACGCAAATCTTCTCTAGATGGAACAACTAATCTTTTAAACCCTGCCTTCTCAAGAAAGAGCAACCCATCCACCATCACAAACTCGTCAGTGGTGGCCTTGTCTTTGGCCTGCAATTTGTTGATGATGTCCATCGTGATGGGATCTTCCTTGTAGGCTTCCCCCAAAGATCGGGTCACGTCGTCAGATAAGCCAAACTCATACATCAGCGCACCTAGGCAGTCTGCCCTTCTAGGCAACGCATCTGCAACCTTGTTGTACTCTCCCTTCACATAGTCTAGTTTGAAGTCATACTCATCTATGACTTCAATCCAGCGTTTGAGTTCATTAGAGAGAACTGGTTGGGTCTTGATCCACTTGAGGGTCTGATGGTCAATTCTCAAATAGAAGAACCTCCCTGACAGATAGTGCCTCCACTGGACAAGTGCTTTGTGGAGAGCATAAAATTCCCTTCCGTAGGTGAACTTTGCCAACTTCTTTCATGGCATCGTTTTGCTCATGTACTTGACCGGTCTCAACTTTTTCCCTTCCTGCTGAGCCAGCACTGTGCCAATGCCATATTGGCTTGCATCAGTGGTTACAATCAATGGCCTTTGCGGGTCGTGTACCATGAGAACCTCATGGTGTGTGAGAGCATGCCTCAAACGCTTGAAAGCTGCCTCACACTCGTCGGTCCAGTCCCATGGTGTGTCAAGTCAAGTTAGATCACTCAAGGGAGATGCGATCATACCATAATTCTTTACGAAGATGCGGTAATAACCACACATCCCCAAGAATGATCTGACCTCGGTCACAGACTGGGGTCGTGGCCAGTCACGTATGTCAGCCACCTTCGCATCTTCGGGCCTAATACCATCCACGGATACTTCATGACCCAAGTACAAGATTCGAGTGCGACCGACCTCGCATTTCTCTGTGTTTATCTCATACTTGTGCTGCCGAAGGAGTGAAAGTACGTTGTCTACATGCTAAGCATGCTCCTCGACAGTTCTACTAAAGATAAGTATATCGTCGAGGTACACGACAACTAACTTATCCAAGGAGTTATGGAAGATCCTATTCATGGCGTGCTGGAATGTACCCGGCGCATTGCAAAGGCCAAAGGTCATCACCACAAACTCGTACAGACCGCGTACCTGGTCTGAAATGCGGTTTTGTGCTGGTCCTCTGGTCTTATGGCAATTTGATGGTAGCCGGATTTTAAGTCTATCTTTGTATAGTACTTACATCCCTGCACCCTATCCAATAGGTCGTCAATGCATGGTAGAGGCTTTGCGTTCTTAATGGTGATGGCATTGAGGCCTCTATAATCAGTGCACATCCTTAGTGTTCCCCCTTTCTTTGGAACAAACAGGACTGGTGCGCGAAAGGGGGAAGTACTAGGCCGGATCCAACCCTTTTCTGTGAGCTCTTTCAGCTGCCGACGAAGTTCGTCCAACTCGGCCGGAGCCATCCTATAGATTCTCCCTTTAGGTGTCTTGCTACCTGGGATGATCTGTATGGCATGGACAACTTCCCTGTCTACGACTCCTGAGGGCTCCTTAAACA